CAGTAATCTTCCTCTGTAATTCCGGGACAGGTATATTCGCCTTAGATTCGTCAAAAGGCAGATTCTGCCTGCCTTTTTGGAGAAGTTTCCTGACAAATACGGTGTCACAGCATCGGAGGGCTTCTCTATATCCTCATTGGATAAAACAACCCGGATTTTATTTTAAATCTGGATTGGAACAACAGACAGAGGTTTTGACTGCAAGGCCAGACCAAATAAATTATATATTTCAAAGTTGGGCGGATATGGCTACCAACATCAAGACTTCCATTTGTTGTAATTTATTCCTTTATGTATCATCCGATGATGTGAAGTAATACTGCAGATTTATTATTTTTTTCCAGCTTGGACACAAACATAAAAAGTTGGCAGCTAAAGTGAAAAAGTACACAACCCTCTGCTCCACCTATGAAAAGCAACTGGTAAAAAAAAGGTTGTAAAATAGGGCAAAATTCACTTAACAAATGTTTCACTTAGCAACATCAGTTTGGGAACTCAATTGTGGTCATAACTCGAGGACTACCTTTGTGACTCGTTCTTGAAACTGCTGCTTTGCTTTACAGCATAATAGCTTCCCATTTATTTATTTATTTCTAAAAATAAACACACCTTTAAGAGGTTAAATGGGTTAGGGAACTCTGCAGGTATAACATGGTCTCTGGATGCCACATACAGGATGGAGGTCTGCTCAATAGATTTAGAGCTGATCAATTCCATGATAAGCTGATTGAGAAGGAGTCCACCTTTGCGGTGGAGACTTAAGACTGTAACATACTGTATAAAATCAAGTTTTCATTCTTGTTGCGTACTTGTTCTCCTTTTTTCATCTTTCAGGATATTTCCGTTTTGATTGCCGTGGCTGCAGTTGTACCATCAGTGCTATTTTTGCTTTATAAAATAATTGGATCTCAGAAGAAGAAAGATCCATTGACCTTAGAGGATCCAAATATCAAATATCCATTGTCTTTGATAGAGAAAGAGGTGAGCTGTCAGTTCTTTTTTTGGCTTGAATGTATGAAAATGCCATATAAAACTCTTGACAGCAGTGTGCCAGGTTGGATATCTGTATTTTAAATGAGAGATTGCAGGGGTGGGACTCAAGCCCTTGGCATAGAAAGCGTGTGCGCACTGATACAAAACTCTGTCTCTTCAGAAACATTAAGATTTGAGCATTTGATATTGGCCTACACCTATTTCCCCATGTTTGGAAGGCCATAAATGTGCCAAGGTATTTGGAAATTCTGCCCTTGGGATATTGCACAATGTTGAGTAACAGCAGCTGTGATGCATTAAAGCAGCAACAGAGTAGCTATCACTTGGAAATCTAATCTGTGGTCCAGCATGTACAAGATTTTCCCAACCCACAACTGGGTATATTGTGTATTCAGTTCTGTGGCGTTGTGCAATGATATAATGGAGGCATGAAAAGAAAGAAAAAAGGTTATTCCAAGGAATTAAAACGTAAATGATTATGGGAGGGGGCACATTGCATAAAGTATGCTCCTTGGTGGGTTGCGTTCATGCCCATGGAAGGCTAGGAATATTACACCTGAATTGAAACTGGACATTTTATGTGGAATATATGAGGTGACATTATTCAGTGTACTCAGCTTGGCATTCCTGGTGTGGCAACCAGCCATGTTTCTCGTTGGCTGGTGTCCACATCATCCAAACAGGGACACTTTGAGACAGATAAGGGCAGGGACACTAAAAAATAATAGACACCTATTAAAATTGCATAAACTTTTTGAATGGCTTTAATTTTCCTATGTTTCCCATTGACCTCATTATCTATCCCTGCAGCACCTCTGGCAGTTCCAGCTGTGGTTCTTCATTGATGGGCAAAGTAGCTGATTCAGGAAGAGCAGAATGAAAAGACACACAAGCTGATGTGTTGAGGGAAGAGCAAAGGCAGTGCCAGGCACCCTTTCCTCCGTGTTACCTCCTTTGTGAGGCTCCATACAGCTGCTGCCTTCTTCCCTGCTGCGCAGCTTGTGTGGCTTCACTTTTACCCCCACAATGCCAGCTTATGCGGCATCAGTTTCCCTCTCACAGGGTTGCAGTATTAGCTGCCTCTGTGGGGGAGGAGTGAAATGCGATTCATTATGGGAGACGAGCCATCAATGCCAGTTAGAAAACAGTGGGGAAAGGGTGCCTGGAGTTTATCACTGGGACAAATGATAAACCAGGATGCATGGTCACCCTACTGAGATGCTGGCTGCCAGGCATGGCCAGATGCACACAGTGGGGATGGGTGAGCTATCATAGGTAAAGGTGAAGGTTCCCCTTGCACATGTGTACTAGTCGTTTCCGACTCTAGGGTGTGGTGCTCATCTCTGTTTCAAAGGCAAAAAGCCAGCGCTGTCCAAAGATTTCTCCGTGGTCATGGGGCCAGTATGACTAAACACCGAAGGCACACAGAGTACTGTTACCTTCCCATCAAAGGTGGTCCCTATTTTTCTACTTGCATTTTTACGTGCTTTCGAACTGCTAGATTGGCAGAAGCTGGGACAGGTAACAGGAGCTCACTCCATTACGCGGCACCAGGAATTCGAACCACCGAACTGCTGACCTTTCTGATCGACAAGCTTAGCGTCTTAGCCACTGAGCCACTGCTTCCCTTGAGCTGTCATAGACCATACCAAAAAAACTTCCAATGGGACAGATATGGGGCACAAGCTGAATGTTTGAGATCGCCCAATGAACCTATACCCAAAGATCTTGCGTGTTCTCTGCCTTGTTGTGGTTAGATCACTTTTGGTATCCTCAGTTTCCCCTTATCCTTTATGGTGCCCCTTTTCTTTCTCAGTTGTATATTTTAGCACATGGAAAGTGAGGCGTGTCATGAGAAAATATCTTAAATCATTTTTGTGATGCTTTATTAGTCAAAGTTTTTCACCTGATTTCTTTTTCCCAGGATATCAGCCATGATACCAGGAGATTCCGATTTGCGCTACCATCGCCAAAACATATATTGGGCTTGCCTATAGGTAAGCATGGCCTCATTCTTCATCAGTTCCTGATGCAGAGTCCTTGCATTAGTGCCCCCACCCCCAAAAGAAATATCTGAAAAGATCTAGTAAAACTTATTCGATACTGAAACTGCTTTTTCCAGTGCTGCACAAAATATTTTATTAGTTATCTCCTTGAAATCCTAAGTGGTTTTAATGTTGAGAGAATAATTGTTAGAATAAATGCTACAATATGTAATTATATATAATATAATATCTAAGGAAAGATAACAATTTGCTTTTCAACAGCATTGGTCACCATTATAGGCTAATCTAGTAGTAGAACAAATTAATAATGTTCAGTTGAGGCAAAGGACTGAAAATTCACAATACCTTATGAAGTCAGTTTACATCAAACAGAGTAAGAAAGTGACTCCCTTTGTACCTCTGCATAGTTGGGACAATTTAAGGCACATGGTTAAATGAGTAGAATGAAGGTGGTGAGCATATTCAGATGGACAGTCCTTTCTCATGGTGGACCAATCTACTTACTGTTTCATTCAAAACTTCCTTTGCTGGATGGTGAAGGCCTAAGACATGCTTGGGCTGGGATTCAGTCACATTGTAGGGGAAGCTGTAGTGATTCTCAGTCATCCATGTTGTGGTTGTCCCAAAGGTGCTTTTCCAGGAGGCAACTGGACTTTTTTTCTTTTGAAGACGTTTCGCTTCTCATCCAAGAAGTTTCTTCAGCTCTGACTGGACGGTGGGGAATAAGAGCTGAAGTCAGAGCTGAAGAAGCTTCTTGGATGAGAAGCAAAATGTCTTCAAAAGAAAGAAGAAAAATAAAGTCCAGTTGTAGGGGAAGCAGTAAAATGGCAGCCATGAGCAAACTTTCCTGGGTAAATCCAATGGAAAAGAGTTGGCTTTATGTTTAACTTTGTGTTGCAAAGTAGTTTATCTAGCAATTCTGGGAAATGTGGGCTGAAAACCATCCAGCTCAAACACAGGTTTCATTTCCTATGGCTCTGCTACCTACATTCAGTATCTTACCTTGTCTTTCTTATAGGAAAATATAGGGGGGCTGGATATCTGTCCATTCTCTGATAGATGATTTGCTTAACTAAAGTTTCACACAGTCTGACTTGCCTTATTAGTAAGTTCTTTTATTGTAGGTGTTTACATATTGTCCTTCAACATATTATGATAGGGACTGCAAAATAAAACCAGAAAGTAAAGCACAGATGCAATAGAAGTGAAACTACAGCAGAAAGTGGCATATATTTAAAACTTCTCTCTCACTGAAAATCAGAGTAAAATATTTCAGCTTTAAAGTAGGAGTCAGGCATAGTTATCCAAGCCAGGCATGACTCATGGTTTAGTTTTTTGTTTTTTTTTAGTTTAGTTTAGTTTTATTTGGCATTTATAGGCCGCCCTTTTCCCTGAGGGGACTCAGGGCGGCTTACAATTCGTGGGAGAGAAGTTTTAAATATATGCCACTTTCTGCTGTAGTTTCACTTCTATTGCATCTGTGCTTTACTTT